CCCCGCCCCTCGTGACGTCAAAATGACGTAGGCGTTTTTTCATGGGGGTAAATATCCGGGGGTAGAAATCCGGCGACCCGACGCCAGCTGATGCAGTTGTTGAAAAGAAAATAAAGTTTTGTGGGCTGGATGAAGAAAGGAATCTAAAATTAAAACGGAGCCATTGCTACTACTACCAAATCCAGGGACAGCTCCACATAACTCAATAAAAATATTGTTGGTTTTTGGTGTGGACTAACAAAGGCATGTCCATAGAGAAAATCCTGAGGGACGACCAGTTTTGGGAAAACAAAATGGAAAAACCCCTGACTAATTTTTATTTCAAATGTGTATTGCCAGAGCTGATCGACCCAAGACACCCTCGGGGACGATCCCAATAAGGGATAGGTTTTGAAAAGTTTTGTCAACGAATAAAACTGATAAATTATTGTAATTATTTAATAATTTGTACATAAAGGTAAATTATAAATAATTAAAATAATTTTTTTTTATTTCAACTGTTGTTTTTATATTTCAAAATATTGTACCTACCATAACTGGGTTTACTTATGGTACAGTAATCTGTTTACAGCCAAAACCCAGTACTGTAACCTACTTTAAATATTTATTTAGTATATGGTTAAGCACGAGTGTCGCGGTGTTTTGTGGAGTGGAAGTTGCACTAGTGAGTTGCACTAGTGGCAATGATAAAACAGTGAGTATGCCAGTGCGCGTGGGTATGCGGTTCCTCTCCTGCACTCCTGCTGGGCGCCGCCGCCGCGCCGCTTTCTCATCCCCTCTCCCACTCACTCGGCCCCTCTCCCGCTCCCCTCCGTTGTGCAGCGCTCCAAGCGGCCGTTAGCTACATCGTGCTGAGATTTCCGACTCGATGTCCGGCGGACCCTTAAGAGTTGATAGTTAACATTAAAAACATTCATCTCTGATTTGGTTGCGAGAGTTAGAGTTGTAACCGTGCTGGTCAAAGCCTGATGGTAGTTAGTATACTTACTTGTATACTTGTGTTGATCCCACTAGTAGCTTTCCAGCCGTGGTCGTCAAAGTTGTTTAATTTTCAGGTAGGGCCTATCTTCCCTTAATAATAGTATTCACAGGTGTCAGGAATAATATTAAAGTATATTCCTGACGGTTCTGGGCAGGCGCTAAATCGCAAATAATATATTTGATTGAGTGTATTAGATATTATTTGCGTTGTACCAAGAGTTAGTTACATTACTAATAACTCTGAGGCCCGACAAACCTAGACTGCACGATTTAGCGTGCGTAGTTGGGAACACGTGGCCAGTAGGCTAGTAGCTAATATTATTAGCCTATTAACAGAAGCCCAGCTAAGTGATGTAATGTTGGTAGTAACAGTAGCAGTAGCAGTAGTAGGGTTGTTGTTGATTAATCATTTGATTATCTTAATTTAACCTGACCAGCTTGTTTAGTAATCCAACATGTTATCTTGGTAGCTTGGATAGCGGAGTACCGGCTATCAGATAATATATTTATTTAGTGTTTGGATCGTATTTAGTATTTATTTATCTGCTACTAAGTAGCTCAATAATTTAATAGTAGTGCAATTGATAGCTAGCTTTGCTTGCTTGGCTTGGTATTTATTGAGACCAGCTGTTAGAGGTGTAGTCACTCTGCTTATAGTGCACTTGTATTATTATATGGTATTATTATTGAGTAAATTGTCTGATTCTTAGCTTGGGCATTAGAGTGGTGTATTGGATTATAGTGGCCTAGTAGACCCCGCCTGGTGATAACGAGCGTTGTGGTTTTTATTGGCAAGTCATCGTGTAACTCACTGTGTTTTAGGCACTCTGGGCTTAACTATTGGATAGTTAGAACGAAGCCCGAGTTGCGTAATCAGCAACGACCCCCTAGGAGTGTGGAGAATCGGCGTAGGCCTGGTAGTGATTATTGCACGTTTGTTTTGGTGACTTGTTTTTGACTTGTTCACAGTATGCCCGTGTATGAGCCAGTCTTATACCGGTTAGACCCGGCTTTTGGCCTAGTGGTTTCCCTGACCTTATCGCCGACCCTGGAACTTTACCCAGCCATTGTAGGCTGAGCTATCCCCGGCAAACGTTTGCGACTGCACGCACTTGTAATATTTTTTTCCACTGCGGTTAGAGCGTCGCAATGGTCGGTATCAAATTATCTTCGATTCGGGCATGGTGGTTTGTAAGCAGAGTGCTATTAGCTGTTGTTGTTATTGTAATTGCATAAAAATAACAGTATTTTCTATCACTGGTAGCTACGGGCCGCCAGTTCTGGTTACGATAATGGTAATTCCCTGTGTTGTGAGGGAAACGCCACCGAGCGTCCTTACTCGTTATAATGGGGGCGAAAAGCGCCGAATTATCCACCCGGCCGTGGCGCAGGGATTTCTGAAGCGTCCGTCCATTTATTTTTTCTGGGCGAACCACCATTTATTTATTTGTTCTCAACGGCAAACACCATTTTTCAAACAATACATTATACAATTCAATACATTAGCAAGCATAAGCAATAACAAAAGTAATTCTAAGGCAGCATATTCGAGCAAAACAAACAGAGATGAAATAAAAATTAGAAGAATTGAGCAAAACTCGGGAATGAGCAATAAAAAAATACAAAATTAACAAAAGAAGAAGAAAAAAACCTAAAACAAGTGATAGGTAAGAAGAATAAACTACTTGAGAGAGAAAAATACCCCCGCCGCAGCAAACCTGCCGACTAAGCGAATTTCCATTTGTCTGAATTGATTTTCAGTTAAATATATTTTAATAACATTAGGTTTAACGAGTACCTAGGTTTGCTGCTACAAGGAAACTAATAAAGTGTTTTTTAGTAAAATATTGATAGCTTAGTACAAAATAAATAAATTTGCCAAGTTTGATCAAGATATATCCATCAACAAGCAAACTACAACATTTGACAATATTCTCCATAAGAATAACATGGGAATTTTAAATTTACAATTTTTTTAATTTTCTCCGTTACTAACAATCGAACAAAAATACTTTTATATACTAAATTATTTGTTTTTTTAAGCTCTTTAAAAGGTCTAAAGAGAAATCGGGAAATTTTGTGTTTTGAGGGTCAAAAGTGAGAAAAACCTATTTTTACCCCATAAAACCCCCCGTAAAGCCCCGTTCCCATGGTCCGATCATGCTGGTTCGCGAACTCATTCAAGTTTATCCCCCTTTACACCTTTAAACCAAATTTCATCAAAATCGGACAAAAATTACTCAAGTTATCGCGTTCACGGACGTATATATATATATATATATATATATATATATATATATATATATGTCTATATATATATATATACATATATAAAAATTTAACGAATGGTGTTTTTGGCCTCTGGGGACATCAAAATGAAAAAGTAAATCGGTCCCGGGTCTAGGTCTTACCGTGCCACCTACGGTAATAGCTACTTCCCTATAGGGAAATTCGCTTAAAGGCAAAACAAAGGTGCGTCAGTGTAATAACAAAGTAAACGAAACGAACAGATTACAATTATCAACCAAAACAACAATAGATAAACTCTTAAGTGGCAATAACAAAAGTAAAAATGTTAACAGGATAACAGGAACTATTCTGATATTGAAAACAGGGCATTAATAATGGCATTAATAAATTCTTATTGAGTCTTATTATTGGGGGAATACAATATTTACAAGATAACAATAATTTAGATATTGAAAAACAGAGAATAAAATATTAACAAAATAACAGGAACTTTGATATTGAATAACAGCGAATAAAATAATGAGAAAGAACAGTCAACAAGAAACAACACGCAAAAAGAGATAACAGCTAGCAATAAAGGCATAATGTACAAAACATACAACAAGTTTAAGTGATGAGCAAAATGATTAATAACTTGATACTTACTTACTTACTTACTTACTTACTTACTTACTTGATACTTGGTGATCTCCCACTGGTAGCGCAGCTGCGCCGTGGTCGTCAGTTTTTTTGGCCTATTTTTCTTTTAGATATTCTTCAACAGAATAATATGGCCTCTTCAATAGATATTCTTTAAATTTCCTCTTGAATTCATCTTGATCTTCAATGCTTTTTTTATTTGGAGGGATCAAGTTGTAGATTAAGCTTGATAAAAACATTGGTCAGTCCTTTACTAAACTTGAGTTGACTTGATTTAGATGAATGTTGTTTTTTTGCCTTGTTGAGTAATAACCAGCACAGATTAATTAGTAATACTGACCATGCATGCACTTAACTTTTTGTGGCCCATTAATGGCACCACCAAAATAGTAACTTTCACAATTTGCCCTCACTAAGCACAACAGCGACTCTTCTTTTGAACGGAGCAGTTGCACCGGAGAAGTCGACCCACGCACCAATCGGACCTCCCGTTCGCTCGTTCGCTGCAATCAGCATAGGCCACTGTAGTATGCAAAAAGCGTTGGTTGATAGTGTCGCTGGAAAGGAGTTCTGGGACGTGTTCCTCTGGGCACAACAAGATCAATATTGCGGAGAAGTTCAGGGCAGTCTATATATGCGCATTGATCAGTTTGAAAAGGAAAATAGCGTCAAAAGTCAAACGTCTTACTTAACCATTGACCATTTTGAAGGTGTTCGTGACGTCACCTACGTCCGGGCTAACCGCGGAACCAATTAATGACTTATTGACTTAAAATGACGTAGGCGTTTTTTCATAGGGGTAGAATTCCGATACCCCTATCTGAGATCTTAATCTCCACCATGGAATAAACAAACAACAAACTAAATTGGTGTGTTTGGATTTTATCATTGACTATATATTTTTATCCAGTGATTTTATCTTTATGTCCCCATGACTACCACCAACCTAGACTCGCTTTGGGGATGACACCTCACTCTCACTACACTTCACTTCGCTACAGTTGAGTTTAATCATTGACTATAGTTTTATTGAAGGCTTGGCTTACTAACTGCAGATCCAACTTCAATCCAATCCAATACAAAAAGGTTGTGGTTTGATTTGTTTGTTTATTTTGTACATTCAAAAAGTTGAAATTTATTTTATTAGCCTTCAAATAAAAACAAAAACAGTTTTAAAATTTGAAACTATGGGAACCATTACAGATTTATTAAACTCACGAATAATGGAATCGCAAGTAAGTAAACAACAAGTAACTTGTCATCATCATTACTTAATATAATGGCTACATTTTTATGTTTAGTTGACACAGGTCCATTTAAGGCCTAGGCCTAGTCTACATAATGCACCGTATAAGGTTTTGCCTGTTGACATGCTAGGCCTACTACAAAGTAGAAACACAAAATACCCCCGCCGCAGCAAACCTGCATACTAAGTTAAGTGAATTTCCATTTTCCTGATTTGATTTTTACTTAAATCTATTTAAATAACATTAGGTTTAATGAGTACCGTACCTAGGTTTGCTGCTACAGGGGGCAATGAAATGTGTGCTTTTTGTAAAAATTAGTCGTTTAGTAGGTATAAAATACACAGAAGATACCCGTCCGGTAACTGGACGTGGATTATTTTAGGCGTCTGGTAGTGACGTCACCGGGTTGTGACGTCACTTTTGTTTTTTATCAAATAAAAAAAATGAAATCTGAAATGAAAAATCTGAATGAAAAAATGAAAAATTAAATCTTTTGTTTTTAGCCATAACTGCATGGTTTGCTGTTTTGTTTGCTGTGAAGATTAATTAACCATTTTTCAGCATGGTTTGTAATGATGAACATTTCATTATTTATATGCATTGGTTTGTTTATTTTAGAATAGTTTGACGTTACCTATTGTATTTATTACTTAATGGTACAATAAATCTCTTGAATCTTGAATCTTGAATCTCTTGTGGGGGCCCGGAACACAACAATACGATGTTCAGCCATCGGTGTTCATGGTGTAGTGGATAGAGTGCTCGGCTGATATGCAAGTGGTCCCTGGTTCAAATCTCATTGGTAACTTTACCTTTGTCAAAGATTTTGCTAATGAATGCCATTTCTTCTTAACATTACATTTTTTGTTAGAGTTTTTGGCATTTATAATTTTATTTTTTGAACAGAATTTAACCTTCATTTGATTTTTTCATTATCAGCAAGTTTGGTTGGTTAGGTTAGGTTATGACAGTAACTGGATGCCTAACCCACGTCCGGTTACGGGACGTGCATCCTCTGCATATAAAATATATAAATGTGACAAGATTGATCAAAATTATATGTAGGCCTATGAGCAAGCAATCTACAACAGTTTAAGTTACTTAATTCGCCATAAGTGTAAGAATAACATGGGAATTTTAAGTTTGCATCTTTTTGAATTATTTCCGTTCTGCTAACCAATAGGCCCAACCATACAAAAACAATATAGAATACTAAATTATTTATTTTTTAAGCTCTTCAAAACAGTTAGGTCTAGACCTAAAAGAGAAATTAGAAAAATTTTGGTTGTGAGGGTTGAAAGTGGGAAAGCCCAATTCTTATCCCCCATAAAACCCTGTTCCCATGGTCTAATCATGCTGGTTAACAAAATTATTCAAGTTTATCCCATCCTACACCTTCAAGCCGAATCTCATCAAAATCGGACAAAAATTAAGTAAGTTATCGCGATCACGGACACATAATATAAGTTATAAATCTTACCATTTCGAACTAATAGTGTTTTCGGCTCTGGGGACATAAACATGAAAAATCAAATCAGTCCTGCGTTTAGGTCTTACTGAGCCACCGATGGTAATAATAGCCAGTTCCCTAAGGTAATTCGCTAAAAAAAAAAAAAAAAAAAAAACAGTTACAGCCCAACTGTGGGAAGATAATGTACCTTAGTTTATAATAATCTAGTTGCACATTATTTAGTAACATCAATTAATTTTCACCATTAGGCCTACAATTTTTAAGACACAGTTAACAAGCGTGCATGCGATTCTTCAACGTAAAAACTGCATTAACTTAAGGATGTTGCCAAGCCTACTGATGGACAGGGGAAATTGTGGGACTCTTGGAGAATGGCATTGGTGCACAGACGAATAGCGCAGCTAGCTTGACTGATTAAATCAGAGCCGACCTAGTCCCAGTGTGTCAGCCACAAATGGGCTTTTTGCACTTCCGCATCAGAGCCTGTCACACTAGAGAGGCCCCTCTAAGCTGATAGGCCTACAACTGAATGAACCATTTTTTACGATTAAATCAGCGAATAAACCTAGGAGGTAGGACACTAGCTAATAAATAATTACATTCTTTAATTATTACATTAAGAGGGCTGCAGACTAGATTTGTTTACTTTGAGTCAGGTAAAAAATGTTACCTTCAGGTGTCAGGTCAAAATCAGGTTGGATCTAAATCGGTTTGCCTTGGAAAGTGTTGATTTTTAATAGAGAATACCGATTTTTGAGCCGAGTTGAGCCTGTCTACAAGCTTGAAAGACCTAGCACCTTTGTATGGACTTTCAATAATTCACATCAATCTTCTTTGCAAGTGTAGAACTCATTTGCCTTTCTAACTTAATTTTTTTTTTTCAGGATAAAAAATTGTATTTGGGAGCAGTGATTCACTCACAAAATCAGAATCAAGTTACAATCATACCTAAAGCAGTTCTTGTTGTTATTGATGGCAAGGTTTGTAACAATAATTGTATATTGTTATTGCTATTGTCTAGACCTATAGTTAGGATATTTATTGGTTATCAAATCAAATATCCCTTTATTGCCAGTTAACATATTTACATGCTTGGCTTGCGTCACAGTTTATAAATAAAATACATAATAAGCAATGACATAGATACACATTAATGCAGAAACATCATTACAAAAATAATACAACATATTTATGATGAACTGTAGTTTACATAGGCCTAATCTTTTACACTATAGGTAAAAACTATTTCCTGAAAGAAATAATTTTAGTTTACGTTTGAAATCCCTAATATCACTAACCGACTTAAGTTTGTCAGGCAGTGAGTTAAATGGCATGGTGGCATTATAAAAAACGAGGTTTTTGAAAAAGGAGGTTTTGTGGTATTGAATGTTCAATTTGGATTTTTCTCTAATGTTGCAACTGGATTGGGGAATCGACGGTTCAAAAAAACTATTGTTTTCTTAAAAAAATGTTGAAAGGTATTGAGAGTATAAATGCAGGGAAAAGTAAGAAGTCAATTTGACGAAAGCTGATCTATAAGACCCTCTCCGGCAAATGCCAGCAATGACCCGTACAGCCTCCTTCTGGAGCGCAAAGATGTGCTTTGTTTTAGATATTTCAGATCCCCAGAAAGTGACGGCGTATGACAAATAGGGGGAAAACACCACATAGTAAGCAGCTAAAAGGACTGTTTTGTCTGTGAAAGGAGCAAAGCGACGTAACACAAAGATGCCGGAAATCACCTTTCGGTCAACGTTGTCAGTTTGACATGAGAACTTTAGGTTTTCGTCAATGTTAAGCCCTACAAATTTCAAATAGGTCTTAGAAGATACTATGGTGTCGTCAATCCAAACACTGAGATCAGTGCGATGTCTTGACGGTATGCTGAAGTCCACCAAAGTGGTCTTGCCATTATTTATGACAAGATCATTGCCAAGAAACCAATGGACAACATTTTTAGACTCAAGAAAAGTAGCAACTTCCATGGCACCGTGGTTGGGTTTATCAACAACAATTGACGCGTCATCGGCAAACAAACACAAATGGGCATCTGAAACACTATTTCTGATGTCATTTATGTATAAGATGAATAAATTAGGTCCCAATATTGAACCCTGTGGCACTCCAGCTTTGACCAGCAAAACATCGGAATCACACTTTTTCAGAATGTTTTTGTCAATAAATGGCAATTGGACGACTTGTCTCTGTCCCCTATGATTCCCGCAGGGGGCTCACGCTTGTGTGGGTACGTGGCCTAGCGACCATGCGGACCATAGCTCTTGCCATCCCAGAGGGGAGGTAATTGCCCGGTGTTTGAACCGGCACTTCAGGTAGGCCACAGTTATGGACGACTGGGCAAGCCAGCCTCTTTGGGTTGTACCCAAAGGGAGAGTTCCCAGTGACATTTCCTCCATTCAGGGTGGTGGGGTGTTCAGCTCTGCGAGACTTCGGTCTCCCACCTGCCTGTGGCTGTGGTTGTGACTTGAGCTCTTCGGGCTCGTCCTGCCTGTTGTGTACGACTGACATTTTGTGAGGCATATCCTCGGCTCTGGAAGTAGGGGAACTCTAGGGGAACGTAACTTTCCGCAGTATGAGGGCAACGGCTGGGCGCACTCCATCAGCCAATCCCTGTCTCTGAGTCTGGAAGGTATGGTTATCTAGAGTGTGGGGGGTTCTCCCTGGAACCTCAATTGGGCAAAGGGTGTCGCCACCTTTGGTGGATAGGTTCATCCGGGTGGGACCCACTTCTATTCCTGCCTCCTTTTGGGAAACCCTAATGGCCTGGCAGTGATGTTGGGCTTGATGGGCAAACGAAGTAGATCGGGTGCTGGGTTCAAGCCCGCTGGGGGTGTTCAGGGATCTATCGCCTTGGTCACCTCTGGTTTCCCAGCAACTGGGTAAGGCCTCGATCGGGTAGTGGTGTAAATAGGTGGTTGGGGTTCCCCCCATCAGCTTGCTGGTGGTCCCCTTCTTCCTGGCTTTGATGGCGGGTTCTGCCTGTCAGGGATTGGATAGGTCCCGAGTGTTGCTTGCACTAAATGCGTCAGGGCATTCCACTATGGTCCTTCTGGGTTTCGTACCTGGGGGAACCCAGGTGGAGTGACGCATAAACAAGTAGCCGGTATCCCTGGTTAGGATTGAGGGGCAACCCTCTCTCCGAAGGGTTGCTTCGGCAGCCGGTGAGCCTGATGACCTTAAGTCATCCTCCCATGGTGTGCCAAAGGTCGGTGCATATGCTTCGGCCTACATCATGGGGCCCTGGTATGTTTAAATACAGGTACCGGGTTTGCAGTCAGGGAGCTTCTGGCTCTTATGACAAAACGAAATGGAAATGGAATGTCCGCTATGATAAGAAGACAGCCACTGATTAGCCATATCTCGTATTCCAATGTTGTCAAGTTTTTCAAGCAAAAGATCATGCAAAACCATGGCACCATCCTACAAGGATGAAGGCGAAAAGCGTTTCATTGGGTTGAAGGCGAAAAGGCCTTCAGCAGATCGAAGAAGACTCCAGAAGCAGCTCCACCCTTATCCAATGCATTTACAACTCTATCGATGATCGAAAACATTGCATTGACTCGTAAAACCACCTTTGACGAATCCAAACTGATTAGGACACAATACTCTGTTAAGGTTTATGAAATTCATAAATCTGCTCAAAAAGGCCTTCTCAAAAACTTTTGTCGATGTTATAGAAATGGGTCTGTAATTTTCAATATTATATAACTACAGTATACTGCGCGAAAGGAAATTCATTTAATACTTTGAGGAGTTTTAAATATATAAATACATAAAACTAGGGACAGTACAAAATTTTTGAGTGAAAACATTCAATTAATTATGAATCCCATTATATTTTCAACACTCTTCTCAGTCACTACAATATTCCAATATCAGCTGTTGAAAACGCAGACGACAATACAGAGACCACGTCGGTCTGTCATAACCTGAACCTGATTCTGTTTACTTCCAGTCCTGCCGACGGCAATGTACACTCGTGAAGTGGATCTTTTGTAAATCCTGACGATGGTGGAGTTAAAGAACCACCAAAAAATATGTAGCAAGTAAAATTCAACACTGGTATATTAAGGACTGTCTGACAAGGTGCGTTTTTACCATTCTTAGAAGCAGTCTTAATTACGAACGGAAAAATGTTGTTGGTGTTGATAGTGAGCAACTTAGAAACACTTTTTCGGGTTGCTTATACAAAATTATTCATTCATTATGACGGCTAGAAAAAAAAAAAATATCCCCCCCCAAAATCCCTTCAAAAAAAGCCCCCCCCCCAAAAAAAATTCCTGTACCCCGCTCTGGGCACCCCTGCACTGCTAAAGTCTGATATTTAGGGCCTATGACAATTCTTTTACTACATAAAGACCTACTTCTCTAAAATTTCTTAGCTTTTTTGTTTTTCTGTTTTTACTTTTAACCAACATCCAATCATCATTAACACATTTTTGATTGTTAAAGGGCTAAACCTTAGGATATTGCTCCTTAAAACTACTTGCACATATTATTTCTCTGTTAATATTACATTCATTGACAACTTCCTTAGTACTAACGGTCACATTTTGTATAGAATGTAAATTTGAGAAGGATTGAAACCATCCCAGGAAGGGTTGTAAAGCCTGGGGGCAACAATAGTAGTGAAATATGAGTTTTGCGTGCATGATTACGTTTATACCACACTCAAACCAGTTATTCTGTTGGAAGCAGTTTACATACATAACATTCTCAGGGGGGATATCAAGACAAGTTGCTACAGAGCAGGCTAAAACTACATTTGAGCCTACAACAGAATCAAAGTGGTAAGCAAAGCGCTGTTTTTTGTCGATGAAAATCAAAGACCAGTAGGCCTATGTACCTCCACCTCCACTTGTTTCATCATATTTGTCGTTTACAGCTGCAAATATGTAATTACAAGATTGGTAAGAATGAGATTCTACAACATCTGCAGTTACATAATTGTTTTTTTATCTTTACTAAAAAAGAATCAGCCGGGCTAAGGAAGAAACACTGGTCCTTGTTACAATTACTATTTTTCATTGTCTTAAAATATCCATCGATTACTTACGTCATCATTACCCAACCCATTTATCTTTTGACATTTTCTAGAGCTCAGCAAGTTCCTGTTTAGCTAGCTCATACTTAAGGTTTAAACTTTCTATTTGTTTTTGTTTATTTACAATTTCATAATTAAACTGGTCTAATTTCTTTTGCATATTATTAGGTTTTGTTTTGCAAGAGTTGCTTTCAGCAGTGACTGAAGAAATGTCCAAGTCCCGTTGACGCAGAGTTGCCTGTAGAGTCTCGATGCAATCGTTGAGAGGGAGAATCTCAACTTCAGTTTGATCTTTAATGAATTACTTTCATAAATTAGTTCTTTCGTTAGGGCCTACTTAACGATACCATTTTAATGATTAAGGTTAATGGCAAAAAATATCACAGACTAAGCAATCTATGTATTAACTTGTTTGGTTTGAAAATCTTCATAGAGTATGTATTTATTTTCTTCGTGTAAGCCTCATGTATCTTTTTAGGCCTAGTAATTATTATTTTTCTCACTGGTTTGTTTCTTCCTGGTTTAGTTCTCTTATGATTTCCTCATGCTAGAGGTACTAATCTGTTGTTTTTGGAAACAAATTCAGTTTCATGCAAGTATTTTTTTTACTTTTAGATTCTAACTTTTCAAAACTCAATTTAAATATTAACTGTTCGTTGCCATGATCAAACAGCAAAGCAGCTTAGAAATTTAAGACTTATTTATTACATTTAATACATCCTATGGATTTGCATTTAAAAATTTTGAATACAATATTCAAGCTTTTTTCTGTAAAAGGTGTAATTTTATTCAAAGAGTAGTTACCAAAACGCTCGCTGAATAGTGTTATGCTACCTTTCTTCACATTAAGATTAAATTCCTAATCAGAAGCCCTAATCAGACGGGATTTTTGAGGGTTTACTCATACAGTGTGTAGGCATAATTTTTATCTTCTTGTCTTCGAATTATTATCTTTTGCTGTAGCCTAATACAGCCACATGTTTAGCAGTTAAAAATTGTAAGCTAAGTAAATTAATTGTAAAAAAATATTCTAAGCTCAATATGTAAGTAACAATTTTCCTACTGTTTCCATGGGAATAATCCAATAAAGTGGACTTTGAAAGCTCGGGCGTTGGAATGCTGAGACATGTTATTGATCGAAATGAACAGAATTATTTTCAGACACTTATATAGAACAATTTCCTAAGTTTCACCACAGCTTTTGATGGACCAAACCAGTAATGCATAATGGACATACATTTAGACACGTATACCTATATTAAATCACAGAAAATATTTGGTTTGCTACAAGTATATATTCAAGAAGATATAAGAATAGTAATTTTTTGCTCTATTAAGGGTCTTTTTTGGACTAGGCCTACTTTTAAATTAACCATGTGCCTTCTAATTCTGTGGAACATTTAAATTATTTTCAGGTTGCAGCTCTAGAGCCCTTAATGGAAAATAGTCAAATGGGAGATATAATTTCTAGATTTGAACCAAACATGATTACCAAATTGCATGACACACAATTTATAATTCCAGGTAAATCAATAGAGTTTATTCCTTGTAATTAGAGATCTGTCAAAACCAAAATTTATTCTTTATCGATAGTGATACCAATAACTGGGAAATTGATTCCCTATATCGGTACCATTGATGGCATGATATACCGGTCAGCCTGTGAACTAATTAAGCGCTAGGGGGTTAGCAACAGAGTTAATACGCTAATTGTAAATATGTTTGTGTTTATTTGTAACTTTTATATCAATATGAAAAAATGAGATAAGTGTAGTTTATTTCACAAATAATGCAAGTAGTTCAATAATTCAAATTTAATAATTTAATTTAATTTAATTAATTTAATAATTCAAAATAATGATAATATAATTCCAAATAAATAGCATTTCATTTTGTTATGTTTTTAGGGATTGCCCGTTTTAACTGACCTTTTGAGTTATCCGACCTAGGTCCGGTCCTATTAGGGTCAGTGAAGAGACCCTGTACTGTGCAGGGAGAGTCTACTGTATTAACGCTTTGTTGCCAGCTATTTATTTATATATGTGTCCGTTAGCGCGATAACTCGAGCAAAAAACATCCAATTTTTATGAAATTTGGTACAAACGTGTAAACCTACGTTTATTCGAACATTCAGCATGATGTTGTTCGATGACCGAGTTGTTCGATCATTCAGCATGATCGGACTATGGGAAGAGGGGTTTATGGGGGGTTTTATGGGGTAAAAATAGGTTTTCCCATTTTTGACCGTAAAAACATAAAATTTAGCAACTTCTTTCCAAACCATTTTATAGAGCTTAAAAAAACAAATAATTAAGTATATTGAAGCGTTATTATGCGCCTAATGGCTACGGAGAAAATTCAAAAAATGTTACAGTTATGTTTATGTTTTTAATGTCATGAATAATTTGTGATTTTTTGTGAATTTTTAATAATTTATTTTTCTTTATTGTTTAGGTGAAGTGGTATAACATTATTATCTTATTATGTGTAGATGTGTAATACCATAGTATAACGTCAATTTAAAGAAGAAAATTTTTTCAAACTTTGTCCTTCCCCATTGCAAACGCAAAGCTTGAGTATAACTGCAATAAGCATTTTAAACTTATATGCCAACCCCGTACGAAGGACGGGTACACTGCTAGTAGGGAATAAATGTAACATTTTTAAGGAGACATTTTAGTGTAAATCCAATCAGGCAAATGGAAATTTGCTTAGTCTGCAGGTTTGCTGGTGGAAATTCGCTTAGTCTGCAGGTTTGCTGCGACGGGGGTATTTATACAGTTATTGCAGTGTTGCAGAAAAATGGCTCTAACTTTTTATTTGTTAAGGGGATTTTAATTTTTTTTTGTTTAGTTGTAAATGAAATTGTCTACTAAATGATAGAAAAATATAATTGTAACAAAATATTTTTGAAAAAACAAAAAATCAAAATTATTTATGGTAAAAAATATTAATTTTCACTTTGACTTGCAATAACTACATTCCAAAAAAATATTTCATTGCATTCAGTGTTATTTCCTGAAAGTACATGCAGTTTTTAGTATTTTTTCTCAATTTCAAGGTCATACCTTGAAAAAATAAGCTGGTGATGCAGATTTATATTTTCGTCCGCAAAATCGTAGATTTGCGTATTGATGCAGTCTACACCAAACAAATTCACTAAATCACTGCTCATTTCATCAAGAAGTTATGTTTTTGAAGAAAATACTTGAATAAAAACTAAAAACACCTTTCTTATGAAAAAAAAAACCCACTAGGCCCTAAAACTAATATTAAAAAATAATATATTTTTCCCTAAACCTTGTATTGTCTGAAGCACACTGGGCGTACTCCTTTCTGGCAACGGAGACTACTGTGTAGACTGTAGGCTGTGTAGACAGTTCTTGATTAGTTCCTTTTCCCTCCTGCTGACAAACTAAGTTGACTGCATACACAACAGTTCCTTTCTTTTCTGTCAGGAAGAGTTTCCAAACCAAATCACTTTCAACTCGATGATTTCCTCCTGCAAGATGATCTGGTACATTTCTTCGCTCGTGCCATTCTTTTGGCAATTCCTCTATAATCTGTAATGTGAACTGAAGTCTGTTGATATCGTTGCCTGTATATTGTTTTCCTATAAAAGGTATAAATTCAAAATCATTCTTCCAAATATATTGAAAACTACTTTTTTCCAATACTTTAATGTAGTACATCTCTCGTCTAAATAAACGTACAGCATCTGATCCGAGTGATCAATGCCACCCATGTAAGAATTTATAAAGGTCAATCATTTCTGGATTTTCTTTGAACTTATGATCTTTGCGCTGATACATTCTTTGACCAACCTCAAACTTTTCTTTCACGGCATCTGGAATTCCTTGTCTGTTTCTTCTTATTGTACCAGTTATGTAGGTCAATTAATATGTAAGTAATCAGCCAGTGGGATAGACATAAAAAAATTATCAACAAACAGGGAAAATCCCTCATTTAAGTACGGTCCGAGCTGTAAAAGTTGTATCACTACTTTGTAGGCTAGGCCATGTTCAGGTTTCCCAACTTCTGTTTTACCTTTATAACAACAAAAACCCAGACAATATTTACTGAAACTGTCACACAGCATCCACAACTTTATCCCCCCCCCTGTGGTGGTGCTTATTGGGTAGATGGGTCTACTGCGTCAGCTTGGATCGACTTTTAGTGCCGATGAGACTTTGTAGCGGTCCCAGTAGCTCAGCATAGGGGGTGGGGGGTTTGACCAAAATTTCAAACTAATTTCTTCAAAATTCAATAGCCTAATATTTCTTTATGAGTTTTTTTTATATTTTTTTGTATTTTTCTTTGTATGCTTTTTTTTGTTTTTGTTTTAAGAGGGCACCACCTTGATTTCAAAGCAGGGTAGGAGGGTTATAACAAGGAAAAAACCCATATATGATATAAAAATAGTGAAGGTGAGATATCACTTGACAACCAATATGAATAAAAATTCTATGAAATAAAACAAGTCTAGGATGATTCTAATCACTAAACACTAGCAAGAGTGATAACACACTTAAATATTCTACCAAATAAAACCCTTTATCAAAATAGTTTAATGAAATTCCAAATTATTTACTGGTAGATAAGTTGATAAAAATTGGGATAGAAAGATTATTTAAAGTTTTGTGAACTATGAGGAATCAAGATATGTAAATGGCTAGATAATGAAAACACTTAAAATATGCAAACTTGGATTTATTACAATCAAAAATAGTAGAGTATCAAAGATTTTTTTTTTTCTTCAATGAATTAGATTGAATAGAATAAACACTTGATAATTAGGCCTAAGCAATGAACTTACACTAACAGAGGTACATATTCAGAATACCTTGGCCGGCCAGAAATTCCTGGAAAGATTATATCAGATAGACACACACACTTAGGCTACAACTATACAAACACATAATAAATGGTGAACTGACAACTCCTGAAAATGTGAATCAATATAAATTTATACACATATAATACAATACTTAACCTAATACCAAAATTCTCTAAACTTTATATATATATATATATATATATATATATCGGCTATTTCAAATTAAGTCCCAATCCATTATAAGACAGAGTCGTTGATGGTCGTCCGAAGTCGAGTGTTCAGCACTAACACAATACCGGTATATGATCCTTGACTTTATCAGTAGTATTTCAATAAAGTTCCTGGTTATCCTTAATTTGGCCTCAAAGATCAAATTCTAACTGGTACCAGTAATAAAAGGTTCATTGAAAGAAATTAAATAAGATATATGAGGTATGCCACTTATCGGTACGATGTATACAGCAGGTACGAGAAGGTAGCGACCAAGTCGGTTGTGGGTCGACAAGTCGTGGTGTCAGCAGAACCCAGGTATAGGTACAGGTAGGCAGTAGGTAGGTGACGACAACTGTAGTGGCTCACTGTAGTCAGGCACGTCTTCTCCCAGAGTATCCCTGAGCATATACAAGAAATAGAAACTAAACCCTAATTGAGATATTATTCACTAACATTTAAAACTGTGGACCTTTCTATACTAATAGTGAGAAAATTGATTCTTCAAATTAATCTCAATTTTAAAACAAGAAAAATAAATATTTTAAGTACAAACAATTAATTATTATCTACAAAACATGTTCAAATTATGACATTATTTACAACCTATTTAAGTTGATAATTAAATTGGATTTCTACAAAATAAACAAATTCTTACTGGCAGGGAGTGTACGTTAACGTTACGTTGTATGGTACATTTAAACTTGGACAAATTAGTCAAATTGTCTTGTAATTTCAAAAAATAATGTCAGCAACACTTTAACCACAAATAAGATTTCTGTAACACATAAATTTATTTATAAACTATTTCTTGATATTTCAACCCTAGCCTAGGTTTCATAACATATCTTAACAAATTTTCATAAACATTTAAATCACCACTGGTACATATTAAAATCATCTTATTGCATAAAAAAAAACAATCAAACATTTAATTTAATATCCAGTTGACCCTAGAAATATTAAAACAGTAATACATTGTAGTAAGTTGAATATAGGAAACAAATCACATGTCTGTAGGACATGAAAGTTTCAGTTTTAAACCTGTCTCATGTTGCATAAGGCTTAAACAATTTTTACAATTACAATTTTTGATTTATACAAGTTCAAATAACAAAATAAATAACTGGAATTGATGGCAAAGTGACATAAAGAGAGATTTAACACATTTACAACAAAACATTTACAAATATTTAATTAAACTATCATTTTACATATTTTACATTTTACAAGTTATCATGTTTGTTCATTCTGGTTGTCAAATCATTTTATTCATAAAATATTAAAATTCAAATTTCAACAAAGTTAACTTTTAAGTTCAAAATATCAAAACATTATTTATAAAATCATTTTATAGTTAGTCAAAAGAAAATACCTCACCTTAGCTAGATCCATAAAATGGGCAAGGAGGGAGTATAGACATGAAGGTAGATTTCTAGATGTAGATGTCTTCACTGGCAACCTGACACTGAGAATT